GTAGACCTACTATTCAGCACAAGGCTGGGAGCTAGGAGGAAGGTGGAGAATAACGGGTAATACACCAAGTGCTGCCTGCAGCTTTAAGGACATCCTAGATGCCATTGTCCGTAATCATGGCAGCTGACACCAGCATTGTGTACAGATCCCAGATGGAATCCAATGTTGGAGGTGAGCAGGGATTTTTTTTTTGTTTTTCTTTGCAGTGGTATTAATTGCAGCGTCTGGCACATAGTAGGTGCTTAATAAATACTAGTTGACTAGCAGCTGTTATAACACCAGAGCATTTGATGAGAAAATACGGGCATCGTTCACCTCTCTCCGTCTACCCTACTCGATCCTTTCTTTTGTTCTGGCTCGCAATCTATCTTAGGTGAGTCCTTGACAAATACCTCCACTGTTGCAAGAGGAAGCTTCATGAGATGGGTGTACTCAACACAGCACAGTGGAAAAGCTTGATAATTTGTTGTTTTGATTAATAAACCACTTAGTAATAATAGATGGTGCAGTGGATACAGCACTGGGCCTGGAGTCAGAAAGATTCATCTTCCTGAGTTCACTTCTAGACTCAGACACTTACTAGCTGTATGACCCTGGGAAAGTCACTTAACCCTATTTGCCTCAGTTTTCTCATCTGTAAAATGAGCTGGAGAAGGAAATGGCAAACCCCTCAAGTATCTTTGCCAAAAAAAAAAAAACAAACCCAAATGGGATCACAAAGAGTCAGACACGACTGAAAAATGACCTAACAACATGATGGAGAAAGGGAATTCTCAGACAAATAGTGTTGAGGTCTTTCGAGAAATAAATTTTCTTCTTTTTTTATGATCCTGAACAAGAATTATGCATTATACACTACATTCAGTGAGAACCTAGGTCAGTGATGGCTTCCTTCTCATCCAACCTTTTCAAGCTTGAAGGTTGATGGGTCTGAATCACTTGTATGTGCATAGAAACTAAAGGATCACAGAGTTTGAGTAAGAAGGGACCTGAGAGGTCACAAAGTCCAATCTCCTCATTTTACACATGAGGAAACTGAGACCCATCAAAGTTAAGTGACTATTTCCTGAGGACACACAGAGTTGTTATTACTTCTGCAGCATCTTAAGGGTTACGTAGGAATCTTATCTAGTGTGCATCATAACATTTAAATAAAGATGAATTCAAGAGGTTCTAGTGACTCCCTGTTGTTTCTTGGACCAAACGCTAATTCCTCCAGGATTTTAAAATCTGTTCTGTGAAGTCTGGATTCGGTCAAAGGGCCACATTTGAGGACCTAGAGAGCCACATGTGGCCTCAAGGCTAAAGGTTCCCCACCCGATCTCTATTTGAAAAATTGGAACATTTGTCTTTCCCTAGTCCCGCAGAGGCAGGTATGTGGTTCAACATACCTGCAAGCATGGAATCAGGAAGATCTGAGTTCAAATCTGGTCTTAGACACTTACTAGCTGTGTGACTTTGGGCAAGTCACTTTATGCCATTTGCCTCAGTTCCTCATCTTTAAAACAGGGGCATACTGGAAAACCACTCCAGTATCTTTGTCAAGAAAACCTCATGGATAAAAAGTCCATGGGGATATGTAGAGTTGGACACAATTGAACAACAACAAGAAGTCCTGCAGAAGTACTTTCCTGCTCTCCGTGATATTTGGCACAACACTGACCATGGATATGGAAGACACACAGTCTGTTTGGGCCAAATGAATTGAATTCATCAAGGATAGGCTTTCTTACTATCTCCTTATCTCAGGGCATCAGCACCGTATGAGTCATTTTTAATCTGTCATTTCCAGTCCAAAGGTCATTTTTCTTATCAGAAAAAAGAGAAGCCAAATCAGAATTGACCAGCTTTGCTTTGTCTCCAGGATTGCCTTGGCCATGTGTGTCCTCTGCATGTGTGCTAAACTATTATTGTTTGTTAGGCCCATGTTCATTCCTTCTCCTTCCCCGTCCTGGATTCTGAGCACATTTGTGGGAAAGTTTGCCCCTGGCTTTGGGGGAAACCCAACTATTGTTCTTACAATGTCATTTAAGTAAATGCTTTTGCTAAGGAGTTGACTCTACTGTATGATTGTTAAGGGAAAGTATGCCAGTGGGGGCTCGTGAGCTAAGTAAATACAAAGTACAAACAAAGAAAATATAAAGAAATTATAGGGGCAGCTAGGTGGTGCAGTGGATAAAGCTCTGGCCTTAGAGTCAGGAGGACCTGACTTCAAATCTGGCCACAGACACTTGACACTTACTAGCTGTGTGACCCTGTGCAAGTCACTTAACCCTGATTGCCTCAGCAAAAAGCAAAAAAAAAAAAAGAAAAGAAATTATGGAGGGGGGTCACTATTATTTAGGGGTATTATGGCCTAGTCTGTCACTTAGGCTTGGAGTTTAAAATGTAATGAAGCACTCATAGACTACATAAGGTAATAAAAACAACTTCACTAATAAATAAAAAGCATGCAACTATTAAAGTTCAGGAGTTATAAAACCCCAACTTTTTTCTACCTTCACAGTTGCCATGGCAACTAGTTACGTTAGGTCAAGAATTCATATATAATCTGAATAACTGTTAAATTCAGATATAACCTCTGTACAATCTCCCCTCTAGGCCAAATCTCTTTATACTTCAGGCAGCAAAAAGGACAAATGGCCCTATGCTTTTGATAGGGCAGCACAATATATATATAATAACCAAGCTATATAGACATGAGTGAGGCTGCCAAAGAAAGGACATGGAGAGTGAAAGGGGCAAATGGGAAAGGATGACGAAGCAGCTGTCATTGTAGTGGAGGCCTGAATGTGAGTTCACCCGGAGCAGACACATTTGTGTAGCCACCTGGCGTTTCTCTTTAATGATAATCCCCAATATCTCACTTATTGCCTGTGCAAAAAAAGATACAATTCCTACCACAGGGGGAATTAAGAAAGGTTTCATGTAGGAGGTGGCAATAAAATTGAGCTTTGAAGAGAGCTAGGGATATACATTCCAGGCAGGGAGAACAGCCTGGCCAAAGGCATGGAGATGGGAGATAGACAAGAAACAGCAAATAGGATGGTTTGGCTAGAAACTTAGAAAATAAGAAGGGAAGTGACATAGAATAAACTTAGAAAAGCAAGACAGAGCCATCTCACAAAGGGTTTTAAGTGCTAAATGGAAGAGTTTGTATTTTAATTTAGAGGCAATCGAAAGGCAGCAGAACTTTTTAAAGCAGGGAAATGACCTAAACAGACTTGGTTTTTGGGCATTTCACTTTGGACATTTGGAGGCTGCATTTGAGAGGGGAGAGCCTTGAGGTAAGCAAATCAATAAGTTGCTATTACAATAGCCCATGTGTAGGTTGGTGAGGTCTGTACCTAGGATGGTAGCCACATCAGTAAAGAGAAGGGAAAGACACAAGAGATGTGAAGATACAATCAAGAAGCCTTAGCAACTGATTAGATATGGCCCCATGGGCTAAGGAACAGCAACACTCATTGGATCATATATTTAGAGCTAGAAGAGACCTTAGAGGTTATTGAGTCCAGCCATCTCATTATTCAGAAAAGGACACTGAGGCCCAGAGAGGTTAAGAGACTTACCAAGGGTCACATAGCTAATATATGTCCAAAGCAGGTTTCAAAAAAGGTCTTCCCAACTCCAATTCCAGCACTCTACATTCAGTATGACTTAGGGATGATTTTGAGATTGTTAACTTGGGAAGATTGAAAAGGCAGAAAGAGTAAAATTGAGAAGAGGAGTGGGAGAAGCCAATGAGCTGTTTTGAACATGATGAGTTGGAGATATATGTTTGAAATATTCCCCCCCCCTCCAAAAAAAGTGATATGGGACGAGCTAAGATGAGACATGGGCTAGATATAGAGATATGGTAGTCATCTGCATAGAAAGGATAAGTGAATCCATAGGATGACCAAGAGGGAAGATATACAGAGAGAGAATATAATGGCCCCAGGACACAGCCCTAGAGTATACCCAGTTGGGAGGTGAGATATGAATAAGAAGCCAAAGAGAAGTCATATAAGTTGAAGAAGAGAGATAGAGATCAATAGAGATCAATGCCACCACAAACCAGAGAGAAGGGAGCATCTATCCGGAACAGGAGTTCCTAACCTTTTTTCTGTCTTAGATTCCCTTTAGTGGTCTGGTGAAGTCTATGGACCCCTCTTCAAAATAACTTTCTTAAGAGAATAAAATAAAATAAAATGATTACAATGGAAGACAAAAGTCAGTGAAAATCAAGATAAGACTTTTCCCATCCAAGTTCATAGAGCCCCTAAAATCTATTCATGATCCCTTTGGGGACCCTAAGTGATGAGCCCCTCATCTAGGGATAGAGATTGCTTAACTGTCAAAAGCTTCACAGAAGTCAGGAAGGAGGAGGGCTGAGAAAAAAAAAAGGTATTGGATTTAGCAATTAATCAGCTGTATGATCCTAAGTATAACCCAAGTTTAACCTCTCTAAGCCTGTTTCCTTGTCTGTAAAACGGGGGTAGTAAGAGCACCTACCTTCCAGGATTATTTTGAGAATCAAATGAGAAAACTCATGCAAAGAACTTTTCAAACCTTAAAGTACGTTATAAATGCAAACTCTTGTTATCGCTGTACAAATATTTTACTTTTTTTATCAACTTGGTGAGCAAATATTGGGGGAGGAAAAAATGATTTTATCATGTAAGCTAGTGTTCATGGCAGATGGACAAAAATTGAGGAGGTCAAGGCTCTTGACCAGAATGAAAGAAAAATCCCATTTCCTGCCCTGATTCAAGATACCTACTTTCGAATTCAGGCATTTCCTTCTATGCCATTGAAGAAACGTCATCTCCTGTCTTCAAACCCTCACCAATGGGAAACCTATTAAAAACCCTCTTGCCTCTTCTCTCTTTCAATTTTGCTAGATTTCAATAAAAGGCAAGAATTCACACAGAGTCAGCAATAGGGGTGGCGGTCAAAGGCAGTGAGAAGACCGGGCTCAACATCCAGAACGAGCTGGGAAAGGAAAGGATACTCACGATGTTCATGAGCGTCAGGAGGTAGTTTTGGACGTGTTCTTTGCCGTGGAAGCGGACTACGGAATCATCCACGCCTAAGAGCACCTCAATATTATGGTCATCGTCTCCCGCGTGCCTTCGCCGCCTCGTTGTCTCATTCAGCTGTTGTTCAAGGTGGTCATAACTGGCACCGAGGTCATCAAAGCCCTCCCACTGAGGTCCTGTTGAAAAATTCAAAAAAAAATTCAAGCGTTTTAATTTACCCATAATGGCTTCTAACGTTTTCTTTCAAAAAATATATTTTTTTAAAATTCTACCTTTTCACAAAGGTAGAATTTCCTAAAGCTTCGTTCACAAATGGCCCAATACATGTTGAAAATATCTACTTTAAGGGTAATAAGAAAATATGGATGAATGGTAATGATTTGAAAATTAATTAAATATTAATCTTGCCTGGTAATACTTAACTAAGCAGCAATCCCACATATACTATAGTTCATATCATTATTTATGTGTCTATAACTTCTACCATCTAAAGTGAAATATTTCTTCCAAAGAATCATCTGAAAGGAAGGAAGAAGGAGGTCTTCCTCTCAGATGATTCTTTGGAACAAAGATTCTGGTATATCAGAGCAATGAAATATAATAATAATAATTATTATTATTATAGCACGTATGGTGTTTTAAGCTTTACAAAGTTCTTTAAAAGTATTATCTCAGGCCAAATGTGGTAGTGCACCCCTGCTACCGGGAAAGCTGTGGCCAGTAGATCTCTTGAGCTCAGGAATTCTGAGCTGTAGTGGGCTAAGGCAATCAGGCGTAGGCACTAAGTTTCACCATTAATGTGGTAAATCCTCAGGAGCGGGTAGCTACCAGGTTCCCTGAGGAGTGTTGAACCAGTCCAGGACAGAAACTAAACAGGTCAAAACTCCTATGCTGATCAAAGTGGGATAAGGCACATAAATTTTCTCTCATCTTTCCTACCTGGGAGAAATAAGGAGGCTAGATAGATAGATAGATGGACAGACAGACAGACAGACAGACAGATAGATAGATAGGTACTGGTTCTTTCTCCTTGTGTTGAGTCTCTCTATTTATAAATTTAATAACAATAATGAATTATATATTATTATTACATAATATATTTTGAATGTTAATATAATGTTTATTTTAAATATATTCTCTATAAATGTATCATTTAATATTTGGCAGATTAAGATAAATAAAAAATTAAATGCATGGTTTTAACTTTTAATCAGGGGAAAATCCTGTAACATTCTGTCTAGCATCGTGTCAGACACACATCAGACCTTTTAATAAAAGGCTTATTGATTGATTGATTGCAGTTAGTATCAAAACTTAAACTGTATTCATTCACATGTGAAATATTTTAATATGGAATCAACTACCTTGACTTACAAAAGATGCCAAATATAAAAATCCATTCTGACTCATGCCTTAAAGGAGCCACATTTCATACTCTACTGACTCTGTAAGTCACCTGAATCACTGTTTAGAGACACTAATAAATGGGCATTTTTCCTTCTACCTTTGGGGTTTTATTAATGTTGAGGAAAATTTGTTTTTAAAATTATCTCTTGGCCAAAATGAATGTAGACCCAGCCCCAACCAACTCCACGGGATTTGAAGTGGCAGGCTTTCAAACCCTACTCAAACCTTCCCCAGCTCTGAAAAATATATGGAAACGCCCACTCCAAATATAGTTATGAGACCTGAATATGACCACTCAGATTTAAAAGCTGCATTATAATTTATCTTGATCTGAACGCACCTGTTAGCTTATTAGATGGGAATTCTCGCTTCATTGAGGCATCACAGTGGTTCAACAATACACAAATGACTCCCACCTCCAGCCACATCTAACAGCAAGAAATTATATGTACAAACACTTTTACATTTGACCTTCAAATCTTTTCAGGCTTCAGAATGTGGCACATGGTTGTACCTCGCATACAAGCGGGAAATTCATACATGAGATTCCAGTCCTAAAAATAGCTCTGCCTGGAAGATCTGTCGTCTATGACATCCAAAGGAAACACACTGGAAATGTCATCATAGGATTGTAGCTGCATGAATGGAATCGGGGAAAGAATGACTTCAGAAAGATGCCACTTTCTGTTCTCTAGAGGACCTTTGGTTTGGGTTAGCCTTTCTATCTCTTCTTAAATAAGGAAGGATTCTGATTGGGAAGAGAGGAGAATCCCCTTTATGTGAATGAGACAGCTGAGGAAATGAGAAGGAAAATTTTTCTTCCAAATGTTGCCTTTTCTCCACCAAGACTCCCCAAGTACATATTTTCCTCATACCATACAATTTTCCTTTTGTATGACTCCTAATGTGAAATGTCAAACATTTTGGAGAAAAATGGCATTCGAGTTTCCAGCCCTTTGCCCATATTGACATTGCTATTTATAGCAGGCAACCTTGACACACCATGAAATAATTTTAGCCATAATTGGCTCCTTTCAGTACAATCTACTCATTTTACTGTAGTTTACTGGCCTCAGAGTCGGAACAGAGTTTAATGATAATCTGGTCCAACCAACTCACTTTAGTGAGGAGAAAACAGACCTAGACATAGGAAGAGACTTGTCAAAGTAACATAGGCCTTATGAAGCTAACACAGGAGTTGCAAGGAATCCTCAGATTCCAAATGTGTCTTCTTTCTACCAGCTAAGAACCAGGTAGCACTGTGGGTAGAGCACTCAACCCGCAGTCAAGAAGACCTAAGTTAAAATCTTGTCTCAGAAACTTATTAGCTATATGACCCTCGTCAAGTCACTTAACTCCTTCCAGCCTCAGTTTCCTCATCTATAAAATACAGATATTACAGATAGCACCTACTCTCATAGAGGTATTGCAAGGATCAAACGAGATGCTACAAAGCCTTTCACAAACAACAAAAGGTTACATGTATTCTAGCTCTTCATTTTCCTACCTCTCTCTTGCCTCTCTGTGGGAGAAGATGAGGTCCCAGCTTGTGCTCACTGTGAGAGCCTCTCACGTCTCAAAATATAGACTGCTTTTTGACAAATTAAACAAATCAAAATCAATTTATATCTATGTTCTAAAGAGATCTAAAAAACACTCAATGGACACCTTCTTTGATAACAAACTAAGGGTCAACACGCTCACCACCATGACCTAAGTAAAGACTGGTACAGGTTTGAGAAATATTAGCACCTTTAATCTTACTCTTAAAGTTGCTATTAAACCAACAAGGTCTACTATGAGCACAAATGCACACATATACACATCTCACATAGTTTTGCCTTATTTTTAAAGCAAAGAAGTAAACTCTTTTGTTTATCAGCTCACATCCTTCCTGACCTTGGGAACATTGCAGTTAAAATGAATCAATAGTTACAGGGGAGCTAAATAAGGGAATTGTCAATGATAACAGTAAGTTTTGCTATTCAGACAAGTTCTGCAGAAAAAAATTGAGCCAGATGCCATCGGGGTACTTGGAGCAGTGCCACGGGGATAGATGAGAGTGAGAATTATGGTAAATGGCATCTGGGGCCAATGGGATCTTGGCTATGGCTTATAGTGTCACTGCAGGGGACAGAGTCAGACCCTGGTAAACCATCGTCCAGGGAACCAGGGGCAGGCAGCTGCAGACAGGGCCTGTTCATCTGTAAGCTCAGCAGAAGAAAGGAGATGCAGTTGGAGCCAACTCCCATTTGAGAATTGTGTCAGGACAGGGGCAGAGATGAGGCTGAGGCCAGCAACCACGTTGGGCTATCAGCAGAAAGAGACAAAAGCCACAGGCTTCAAACAGAGTGACAAGCCTGGTCCCAGACACCCACCCAGAATTGTAGTCCGGAAGTGGCATCCAGACCCCCAAGGGAATGACACCAAATAAGGCCTGACCCCACTCCAATTCTTGGGTTCATCTGGGGGTAGAGCCTGCCTCAGGAACTTTCAAATCAATTCAATTTAGTAACCATTTATGAAGTACCTGGTACATAGTAAATGCTTAAGAAATGCTTGTTGACTTAAAGTAGTTGAGGTCTACAGAAATTAATTGATTTTCCCGAGGTCATACAGATAGCCAGCATCTGAGGTTGCAACTGGAACCAAATCCTCTGACTTTAGAGATGCTATACCATACCGCAGAAGACCAAGACTGAAAAAAAGGGGTGTTTGGTCCAATAAGTTCCATCTGGTAGCAATCTAAGAGGTAAAACACAGTTACATTCTTCGAATTGGATACTTTTTTCTAGAAATGTTGGTAATCCTATATTAATTTTTAAATGATTAAAGTAGCTTATTAAAAAGATGTGGTAATTGTATTGCTACAGATGGTCTATAGTAAAGAACTTTGAGAATGAACTATTCTTCTAGGGTATAAAATAGTCTTGCAGAAAGCTGATGAATTCTTTACCAACTGGGAAATTCCATCATAACAGTTCAAAGAAAACCATTCTGGCCAACTTATGAGGTCAGTCCTGAAGTTGTGCTTAAATAACTGTTCAATTTTTTTTAAACCTATTACCATTGAATGAATACTACTTTCCATAACTTCTCTTCCCTCACAGTCCCGGTTCTGAGATAAATGTGTTTGCTTCTATTTTCAATGATTGCCTTACTGGGATAACATATGGAACTTTTATTGGAAAAACTACATTATTTTGCATGTGAAAAAAATGTTTTCACACATTTTGGGCTTGATGTTTCTATAGTAAGAGTTTGTTTATTCTAAGTTCAGCCTTCGGAAAACTATCTACCATTTCTGTTCCTCTTTGTCATCTGTGACTTCGTCTCCCAAACCCACCACCCACTGCCCATCCCCTGACTCGGCTTCATACACAGAATCTCCTATTATTTTTTGTGCTGTGATGCTCTTTTTTGATCACTTTCCCTATGATCGTTTCATAATTGTGTCCTGATCATTTTTTTCCTGCTTCCATCCACACCTGCTTTTATTTTCTTTCTATTTTTCTTCTTGAGCTACAGCCCTATTCAGATGTCATGCTACTTACACCTTTAACTTTAAAAACTGTATGAAACTCTTCCCAAATCAATGATTTCACTTGCACGTTATCCATTTCTGCTAAAGTCCTTGTGGTCAGCTGGGTCACTGCTTCAGGGTGTCTCCTCTGCTGCTCTGGCCCAGCAAGCAATAAAATGTCACTCAAATTCAACATCAAATGTGTGTGAAAAATTCAGTTAAAGTTTTTAAGTGAATTAAAAAAAA